TGGAAAATTCTTGCTACTTAACACGGTGCGGAGTTTTATTTACTTATTTAAAATATTTTTTTTATCCTGCCTTTCTCTTTAAAAGGACACAAGGCGGCTTCTAACCATTAAAAAGACAACATTTTTAAATGCTAAAAACAAGGAGTGTACAAATATTTAAAAAGAACGTAAACAAGCATTCTATCAAAAATGGTCAATAAAATCGATACTAAAAACACATTTGAAAAACAACAGAATAGAACAATTTGTGAAAAAAAACCCTCCCACTCAGGACACTGGTCACTAAGGTCCAGTGGGTGGGCCTTCCGATCTCAGGAGGAGTTTTGTGCCTCTGCTGACCTTTTGCCCTTCGTTACAGGCTATGCTAACGAAGTCGGGGAGTCCTTCAGGGCGATTGTGCCCGTCTCGTTGGTCTGGGCCAGCTATGGCGTGGCAACGGTGTACGTGACCGCCGATGCTGTGGACAAAGGGAAGAAAGCAGCCACGGTGAGTAGTGAAAGCTCTCCATCCCTCCTTGTCTCTCTCTGCTTTCAAGGGAAGAGCGTTGGTGCCTTTGGGTGGCTTTGCTGCTTTAAAGGTGGGGCAGGACCAGAGAGGGGCAGGGTGACGCTGAGTTGGCGCTCAGCGATGGGGCTGACAGGGAAAGGGAGAAAGCCCGAAACCGAAGCTGATTTTCCCCCCTAAGGTTACAGCTTTGCAAGGAGGGACATGCATTTTGAGAACCCTGTTATTTCTGTCCTTCCAAGGGCGTGCTATTTTAAATTCCTTTGAACTCTCTGTTTCACGTGCCTCCGTGATTTTAAATGGCGCAGTGCTCCGAGACAGGGAAAGAAATGATGCGCTCGTAGGTGCAGGATCCAGCGAAACGGGGGCAGAATCTCAGAGGTGGCCCACACATTTTGCACAGAGAGCCCCCTTTTTCAGCGCGAGGCATCTCCAGCCGAAAAAACAAAGGATGCTGCTGAATGTTCTGGGATGGGTCTGTGCTGGGACACTGGAACGCTGCTGCCGGTCAGAGCTGGCCGTGTTGCCTTGCCAAGGTCCATCAAGGCTATAAGGCAGCCTTTGTGGCTTCTTGTCCAGAGGCACTGCCGTAGAACTGGGATAATTAAATTTACAAGGCCAGGGGGGGGGAAAACCCGAGGGCTCTTGTAGGGGACATTGAAACATACAGCCTCTAGATGGTGTTGGACTGCAAGTCCCATCGTGACTCAGCATTGGTTATGCTGGCTAGGACGGATGGAAGTTGTTGTTGGATACATCTGGAGGTTGCCCACTCCTAGCCAAGGGGCACTAGAGGGTTTTATCTGGAAAGTTTGATGGCAAGAGTGAAAAGTGGCTTTGTCCACACCGGCCACGGGGACTTTGCCCGGCTGAGCAGGGATTTGAATCCAGGCCTCCCGAGTCATGCCACTGAAATATGACAAAAGTGTGCTAAAGGTGTGCAGACGTAATGTGTAATAAAAGGTATTCACCAACTCTGCATCAAGCTTTAATTTAGCAATCAGCTGCACATCTATTTTTCCCCTGCTTATATAAACCCAAAGATCAAAAAAGCCACTGATGAATTAATTTGATCCATGAAGTCAACTTTCATCCTGTTTTTGGTGTCAAGAGGGGAGCCACGTTTGTGGGAACAAGGATCCGAGTCCTTTCAAGGCTTCAGTTTCATTTAAAATGAGACACACCCACCCACCCCTTTGAGTAGGTCTCTCCTTCTGTGCGCGACAGGCCACGCCAAAGGAAGATGGACGGACCACGCGAGCCGCCGTGGCTGTCGTGGACACCTTTGTCTGGCAGGCCCTGGCGTCCGTCATCATTCCGGGGTTCACCATCAACCGCATCTGTGCAGCCTCCCTCTACCTCATGGGCCGCATGACCCGCTGGCCCCTGTCGGTCAGGAAGTGGACGACCACGGCCGTCGGCCTCTCGGCGATCCCTTTCATCATCAAACCCATTGACAGGTATTGGGCCCTTTCAGTTTGGGTGTGTGTGTGAAAGCCAGGGTGTGCGGTAGATTTCAGCGACACACCTTTCATGATGTCAGACTGAACCATTGTGTACCGAAGAAGCCTTGTGATGCAGGGGTTGAACTGCAGGACTGCAGCGGAAACTCTGCTCAGGACCCGAGTTCAAATCCCAGGTAGCCAGTTCAAGGTTCACTCAGCCTTCCATCCTTCCGAAGTCAGTAAACTGAGTACCCAGGTTACTGGGGTGGGGAGCCATGTGTAGCCTGCATAATTAAACTTGAACATCCCCTCCTGAGTGTGCTTTAAGCCCTGTGGGGCGGTATACAGTGGTGCCCCGCATGACGACGATAATCCGTTCCATTAAAATCGCTGTACAGCAAAATCGTCGTCATGCGAAAAAAAACCATTGGAATGTATTGAAAACCAGTTAATGCGTTCAATGGGGAAATACCTCATTGTCCAACGAAGATCGCAGATCAGCTGTTTAAAATCGCTATTTTGCGAAGCTTCTGTCCGGAAAACAGCCATTTTGCGAAGGGAAGCCAGCCATTTTGCAAAGGGAGGCTATTTTGCGGAGCCAGAAAAATCATCGTTTTGTGACCAAACGGTTCGCGAAGCAAGGACCTAATCAATGTAAAGCAAAAATCCATAGGAAACATCGTTTTGCGATCGCAATTGCGATTGCAAAAAAGTCTTTGTCAAGTGATTTTGTCGTTTGGTAAGCATCTAGCGGGGCACCACTGTATAAGCAACACACTTTGCTTTCCTGAGGTGACCAGGCAACCAGGGGCTGAACACCTACTTCCAGAAGTTCAGTGACTTGAACTCAGAGCCTGCTTTTGTCTTTGAAAAGGGAAAGAGGAGTGGGGTTTGATGTGAGTTGGTGCAGAAGGGGGAAACCAACCCCTGCTCCTGACACCCCCCTCCCCAAGGCCCTGGACTAAGATTTCTAGCCCAGAAGTGCTCTTTGCCACCCAGGCAGAAATAGACAGATTCAAAAGCTGAGATAGTAACATTTCTTGCTTTCCGTCACTAGGACCAGTTTGCAAGGGCAGGGAGGAAAAAGCGATGCGTGTCACACAATTCTGCAGAAAAGCTGAACACACACCCTTTCTCCCGGTGCTGCTTGTGGAAGAAAATCACATCGGTTTTCAGTTGTGGCTTCTGAATTTTGTCATGTCACTGCGAATACATAAGCTTTTCAACTGAGTTTAAGCGTAAATGACACGAGAACGTCTTAGCATTTGGAGCTTCCGGGATAAGAGCAGGAAGCTTTCGATTTGTTGACATGGATTGTTTCCATCGCCCAGATCCACGTGATGCTGACATAAATATAATTTTGCCTATCATTGTTTAAGCAGTGTGTGGAAGTATTAATCTGGCAGG